ATACATTGGTCGCTTCTCACGCGTGGTTCACGCACCGGTCCTATCTCCAGGTAAACAGCCGTAGTTGCAGTCCCTTTTCCCCATTCTAATACATTGCAAAAAGTTCTGTTCCCAGTGCTTATTACTTTGTATTCACCTTTTCTAATTCTTCAAATCAGCAACGAGCCAATACTAGCAAATGATACTCTTACTTCAGCAGATTGAGCTTTCCAAATTAGCAATTGAGGGCATCCATCCGAAAAATTTGAATATCTCAGTATTGTAATAGGTAAGTTTGAGGACATCCTTAGCAAAGTAGGAATCAGGCCAAACGCGGTGCTTAGACGAGGTTTTACTTAAGGAATTTGGTGGATGTCGATTGTCTTTCCCTAATTTTTCGAAAGAAGTTATTTTTCCTAAGCAACCACCTTCTTAGGTGCTTGACATGCTGTAAGTGATCATTACTGTGTCTCTCAATAGCAATTCATATTAAGCGGTATTAACACTAGTACGAAAAAAGCTGAGTTCCCCAACTTCACATTCAAGTAACTGAACTGATAAGGCTGAAATAAACACGACGGTTAATGCCTATGAGCTTCGTGCGGCTACCTACAGAAGGTAATTACGGATACCTACTAATGCGAACTGGATGGCAAAGCGAATTCATTTGCCAGATCTGTGTTCTCTTAATGGAGAGCTAAGGGAGGCATCTTATCAAAAACTAAGAGTTTTACAATATCGTAAAAAGGCAGGTTTATGAGCATTTCAAACTGGTTGAGAAACTTTTGCAACAATCTGTCACCTTGCATATGAATTTTGCGGTTTTCCTTTACGAAACACTAATCATTTATTATCTTTTGAATGAGATTATCCTTGAATGGTTGAAAAAAATGCAATTAGTTCTTCTCAGAATGCACTTAAGGTAATATATGCAGATTGTGCTGTGATTCCAGTAAAGACAAACTTTCTGTCTGGTTTTATATTGTCATTTATTATCTTGTGACGGTATGCCAGAATTAACTCCTCTATGCTTGCTTAAGATGTGAATAGTTCCGTTATGTGCGAAATAAGTTAGGTTGTGCCTTTTCGTCTCACTCGAAACATGGTGAATGGATTTGGCCCTAC